GGAGCTTCTGAAGTGGCCTTTGTATTTATTAATTTCTTGCATCACTGGGAGAACTTCGTAAATGTGTAACGCTTAGTACACCTTTCCAACAAGAAAACAGATCCTGGGTAAAAACAGGAGAGTGACTGGGAGCGATACAAATTATTTTGGACAAAATCACAATCAAAAGTGACGTATTTAAGAGTTGCCTATTCATGGAGTAACATGCATTGCTGACAGTCCTACGTAAGAGGACTACAAGATTTCTGACAATGGAGAAGGACCAAAGCATGCTGGAGATGAAAGTATAAACAGTATAAACTCTGAGTTTTACCCTTCATGCTGAGAAACCTGCCCTGCTTCCCTTCCCACCCCCTGCCAACACAACTATACTCACCCTATCAGTTCTGGAGCAAACCCTGAAGCCCTGTATACAAGCTTGGTTTGACCAAATGCAATTGCCTGCTATAAGTATGCCTTTATTATACTCATGTACCATATAGTTCTGTTTAAAGTTCTCAGAGAACACGTGCCACTTACCTGCAGGAAAAAAAAAAAACCCAAAATCAAAACCACAACACACCATCCTTCTTTTTTTTCCTCACATTTTTACTCGTGCAACAAGGAGAGACCATGCATGAGTAGTATTAGTCATGACTCCAATCAAGCTGATACAATTTCAGAATACAATGGGGAACTGAATGAACTTCTAAGAGTTTGATAGGGTGCATATCGGAACAGCAAAGGGAGGTAGGGTATTTGAAATATTACAACACATTAACATGCCTCTCTAAGGGGATAAACATTGGCTCAAGATTGATACTTGCCGCAATACTTTGTTACTCATTTCCAGTATTTTGTTTTTTTATACCACCTGGGCATCCTCCCAAGAAAACTGGAATCTTCTTTCTTGGAATGGACAGATTTCAAAGGAACACTATGCAAACACTGATATCTTCCCTCTATGATCTTTATCTAGTTACAAAACTGCACGTTAAGGATAAGAGGCAATTGCTCTGATGCAGAATTTAAGTGTAAAATAAAGAATCAACACTACTGCTTTAAAAGGTTTTGTAATATGGTAAAAAACGTGTTTTAAGCCAAAGGGAGCTTTCCTGACAAAGACACAGCAGGCTCTCCATCTCAAAGAGTATATGCACTTGTTTCTGATTAAAGCAAACCCCAATATTCCATGCACATATTTGATTGCAAATGAACTGTCTCTCTAGGGGCTGAAGAAAATGAACTGCTTATACAGAAAGCTTTACTCTAAAAAACAACAAAAATCTCCCATAAAAAAAACCCACCGCACAACAAAAAGCCCGATAAATTCAAGATACAGATAACTGAAGGAAAAAAATGATTAAAAAGAAACCACCGTTGTCAAACTACTCAATATTTATTTTCTGAATACAACTTTTCCCAATACATTCAAGCATTTATAATGTCAATTTTACAATGTACTTACTCCTTGAAAAGAGACTTTACATAGCAGTTTTGTTAAATATTGAATTTTCTTGCAGAAATTATAATAAAGGCAGTTTACTTGATTCCTGAAAACTCAGTGGGAGATGCTAAACTAAGTCTTGCTCACACCTTGTAACCAGTAGTTCAAAGGAACTAGTCACAGGAATTTAGCTAACTTTGCTGATTAAAAAAAAAAAAAAAAAAAACAAAACACCACAAAAAACCCTACCAGTTTTCCTGTGGGAGGTCTACAGATGGTAGCAAGAGTAAGAAGAGAAAAGTCCACTGAAGCAGTATGACTCAAAATATCTACAAGGTAAAAGCACGCCTTCTCCAAAGTCAATAGGAACTGTTAATAGCTCCACGGAGCTAGGATTTCACCATTTGTGAACAGGTCAGTTAAGTGAATATTCACAACTAGAATAAGCCTTATTCTAGTAAACCAAAACATTTGTTGTTAGAAAAATTGAAGCAGATTTCATACCTACATTAAAAATATGTTTCCATTTGTCAACTCGTGGTTTTAAGTACAACTCTACAACATTCTGGGAAATGAATAATGCAACCAACACTTCCAACAGAGAAAGGGCTAGACAGCATGTCATTTAACAGTAATAAAATACTTGAAGCAAACAATTTAGCTAATACATGCCATGAAAAGGAGACTGCTCCCTTACGGAGGAGCCTTTGCTGTGTGAACATGGGAGTTCACAGGGAAAACTCACAACTAGTTTTAACATAGGCAGACTGCTACTCTTACATACCCTCAATAGAGAGAGGCTGTTCCTGAAAGCAAATCAGAGCTGGAGCTCAGCTTTAGCTGCATCCTCTATTCTTGCAAACTAACTTAAAGAGAGAGCCTGAGAGATCTAACATTTCTAGATGAAATTTTTTCTTTTATACTTTTTTCCTGCCAGGCAGGAAATGAACAGATACATTTCTGAATCAAGGGCGAGCTACTGCAGTTTTTCCACAGCTGAAGTGGTTTTAAGGTGAAACAGTCCCATTTTGAAAGAGCTCTGCAAGTTAAAAATCAAAGTCTGAAGCCAGGTACCTGAAAAGTATTTCTGTACATTTAGAATGTACAGATTCAAATTAAAGACAATATACAGCATGATACAGAAAGAGTCTTACAGAAAAAAATTTGGAGAATTGCCAACTTGGTCTCCCATTTATGAATTTAGCCATCATTTGACACTCAACTGTTGCTTTTCAAGAGATATTTAGTAGTACGTCCCGATGTATTTGCTTCTTGCTGCACCAAAAGGTTCATTCTTTGAGTTTAAATCTCTCTTTGAAAGAATTTGTGTTTGGAAATACATGGAGAGATTTTCTATCTTTTTGGAATGCCAATAAATACACGTGGTACACATGACGAGACTGTGTTAGAAAGATTGCTAAACTGATCTTTAAAATCAGAGGAAGCGGGAGAAGATTTTGCACATATGCACATAGGATAGGAGTAACAAGCTTTTACATCACACTTCAAGAATTTATGGGCTAGGAAATAATAATATTCTATTTATAGTGTCCTTTTCCTGAAGGACATACTAACTTTATTCCTTGTTTAGAACACTCACCAAGAAGTGCTGGTTTTCCTGACACTTTGCTAATTCCAGGACAATGCTGCTCTATAATCTTTCACTTCCTCCTTCCCCCTGCCCTGAAAAGAAATTTATTTGCATAGTATCTATTTTTAGCAGGATAGATCCTACATTTAAAATTAGTTCTAAATAATTATTTTAGTGACTATTTATCAGATGCTCAGGCATACAGGCAAAGATGTACTGATTACATAGACATATATAGAATCATCTGTCCTGGGAAGATAGGATCCAACACTGAAGTCATTCCAAACGTTAAATTATTGCTTGTCTAATTTGAGAAAGTGTCATGTCCTATAAGTTAGTACAAAAAATATTAAAAAAAAAAAAAAGAGTGAAGACCTTGAATATAGATTCATTCAATTTAAAGGGGCTGTTATTCTGCAATGATAGTTTTCCTTACATTGACTGTTCTTTTCTCTTCAGTGTGTTAGAGGGCTGTCAACTTTGCTAATTCTTAGCTTAAAGTCCTATTAGCAGTGACTTACCTTCCAACAAAGAGATTAAATTCAAATTAAAAAGTTGCATTTATAATGAAAACTCAGCATATTCTATGAAATATTCAAAATTCTTTATTTCAGGCCAGTATAGTATTGTTACAGGCATGCATCTCTTCCTCCACACTTGCATGTGATCAAAGTTGGCACTCCCAACCACCAAAAAAGTTAAATGTTTATTACAGTACAGGCACAAAGTAGCCAAACAGCTTTACTTTCATTAAGCAAAGCCTGATTGTGCTCTAACAGCATTTATTACCAGTGCATAGATTGTTCTCTCTTCCTAAGAGCAAGCAAGAACGGAAAATTTCCCTTAACTGAAGGAACACAGATGGCAGTTCTGCTACTAAAGCAGCCTTTTCATCAGTGGAAGAATGATAGATATCTGGATACACTGGACGCCTTCCTTCATTGCTTTCAGTTGCACTTACTAGTTCACATGGGCTTGCTCAGAACTGGATTAAACATTGCAGGTCTCTATTACTGCTTTCATTATTATAATCACTATCAAAGTTCCACATCTGAAGAACCAACAGGAATTTTTTTTTTAAAAGTAAACCAACAAAAACCCCAGAAGACTGTTGGTATTGCAGTTCCCTTGCCTAAGACACTGCTTCATAACCACCATTTAAAATCTCTTTCCTTTCTAGAAGCATCAATTCCCCTCCATCAAGAACGCAGCACCAGAGACACTGTATCACTTAACTGTAAATTAACACAACTAATGTATTTTACTGCATTTCAAAATTCCAGTTACAGTGGTAAAGTTAACAATTAGCATATGGAATGAGTATCAGATACTTACATGTACCAAAGGCAAGTTAGTCACAAAAATCTCTACAAATATATTACAAGCAAACCTAGCAGCAAACACTGCTATCATTACACAGTACTCTTTCATGAAAGATGACTGATTGGACGGCCATCTGGAAAACAAGCTGATAACTGTAACGTTATAAAAATAGCAAACTAAATATCTGATAGTATGTACACTGTATGAACAAGTGTTAGAAGGAGGGAATTAAGCATGATTCCGTTAACACAAATTCCACTTATACAAGAGTGCCTCCAAGCCACAAAACGTGTAGTTTCAGTTTTACATTAATAATCAAGACTTCAGTCTGATACATGCAACTGCCTCGGGCAAGCATGTCTGAATAGGCAATGGAACATAATTCCATAGATTCTTCTCCACAGCATGCAGCCCCATACGATTGGTATGAATGTCAGTCTTTGCTTACATCACACTTTGTAGCAGCAAGGTGTACTGCAGTTCAGAATGGAGGGAAATGGCAGAAATATGTATACCACGCTTTCATCAGAGGTAAGTTTCAAAATATGCATGATATGTGTACAGTTTGTTTCTAGGCACGTCTTTGGTTACATTCTCAATACAGTCTGCTTTACAAATAAATAAAAAAAACACCCAACAAAACCAGTCAAGACTTGGTTAAAGTCCAGGCAAAGATAAAACTTTTTTTCCAGAAACCAAGACAATATAAGGCCCTTTAAACTGATGTTTTATTATATCCATAAACGATAAAATCCCAGTGCTACAGTAAGGCACGTAAATACTGAACCTAAAAGAAAATAAAAATGGGGAGGAAAATGGAGACAATAAATCATTAGCTCTCGGAACATTTCTTCAGAAGGCTATATACACATCTTACTACAATACTAAAAGTGTAACCACCACCCCTTCCGCATTAAGAAAATAAGTTTTTTAATTTAGAACAAACAATTTCAAGGTGGAAGGGCACAAAAATGACAAATAAGAAGGAAGGAAAAAAAGAATGCAGGAAAACGGGGGTAGAAAACTATTAAAAGGCTGAAAAACCCTTAGTTGCTTACCATTCCAAAAAAGATCAATATGGCAAATTACAATTGTAAAGTGAGGAAATGAATAACAGGATTATTAAATCACAGTCAAGTATTCAGCAAACAAATAAATGAAAGCTATCTTTAACGAGGCTTATCAGTTTGCAATTTTTAAAATTTCTATGTAAATGACATCAACTTTTGGTTTCTAGATATACACACAAAAGATTTTTGTCACTGTTTGCAACAGGACCACTTCAAACACAATGCAAATTATTTTTTTTTTTTTCATGCAGAGTTCAACATGTTTTTGAGTAGGGATGGTGGGGAAAAGAATTCCTTTCATTTTAATAAATTGCCTTTTGTTTTCCAGTAATAGTTCTCTCTAAAGGATATGCCTGAAATACAGTACTATGAATAGACCTAAACGATTGTACTTGTGACAAAATCCGTTGTGAAAGAATAATCAGAAAATCTAAAATCAGAAGAATAATTTTCTACTGCAAACCTGCTCATTTAATAGCAGTACACACTCAGTAGAAAAATGTCAGAATATTAGTTACCTAGGGCAATAATGTAGGCACACACACATGTAGTATTTTTCTAATGCACATGCCTGAAAAATGAAAGTTTAAAGAACATGTAGCGCTGAACAGTTAGAAAAGCTGAAATGTTCCATTTTTTATATAGATCTCCATCAGACAGATGAAGAAATCCTAGAAATGCATGCAGCAGGCTGCTTTTATAAATTAAGTCAGGCATACAAGAACTTTTTGGCCCTTGTTAACAGGCAATCTTTTAGATTTCTCATACACATTACTATTACAGCATAAAGCAGGGGAAAAAACTGAAAAGTCATACAGCCATAGCCCATGCAAAATAAAGTTGCAAATCATAGGAAACTTTGTCTGGGTTAAGTACAGAAATAAGGCTGCTAATCTTGACTGAGACTATTTAAAGTATTTTTTTTTTTAATCAGGGCCTTTATGAATACAGTCAATCAAGAGTTTGCCAAACATTTAACAATGTTTAACAGTTTCACCATCAGAGACAACCATCAGATTCCTTACCTGCTAAGTACTTAATATTATCAAGTTTGTGCGATTCGAGCATTGTTTTCAGATCTGCAACTTCTGTGTCTATTTTTCTGTCTGTTTGGGTCAGAGCTCGATCTTGCTGCGCATGCTAAAAACCAAAGCAACAAAATGATGCAATTTGAAAAGTTTCTAGTTTATTTAGAAAGGTAACCCATCCCTTCAAGTTGTATTTTTGGTTCCTCCTTAAATGTATGTTAATTTGAATTCAAAGAGAACAAGTTCCTTCCTATCTGATTATATCCAAGGAATTGAATAATTTGGTGAACTCAGGAAACTTATATGATTACACATTCCTTAACACGTAATCTAGAAAGTGGCAGAACTGGATGCCTTTTTATCTCAATCTAGTAGCATAAACATGAACTTCAATCTGTTGTTTGGCTCACCGATATTAAAGTCACTGCTCAATTATAAGAGCTATTGAGAAGTCTAAAAGTCTCTTGTGACAAAAACATACCGGAGCATAAAGATTTATGGATCATTAGAAAAACTGAGAATTGGTCTTCTGATGTAAAAAAGCATGTCTTCACCTTGTAATGAATTCTACCACAAGAACAGCTACAAACAAATTCAGAATCTGATTATGACAGAACACAGGACTTCCGTAAAAGACATGGGATAGAATTATTACACAGAAAAGACTGAAAGATCAAACTTGTAAACAGCTGCTGCATTGCTGGTATTTTCAAATCGGCACTACTGAAACATTGTGAATCAGTTAATGATTTACTGCTACACATCTTCCTAGGGATAATTCCCTATACTACAGAAAGGAAACAAAAGGAAGAGGAAGTGCTTGGTAAAAATCTTCTCTAAAATGAAGCCAAATCAATCTAGCAATGTGTTTCAGTCTCACTGAGCACGGGGTGGGGTGGGGGGGAGGCGTGCACGGAATTAATTTCACAAACTAACATTAAGAGCAGAATTCCATCTAGAGAAAATACTATATGCATGAAGTTTCAAAACAGAGTGACCACTGAACAGTTTATATATACATGCAGAGGGTCTAATAATATATATGACAGCCTTTTTATTCTATAGACACTTCAGTTATCTGTACCAATAGGAAAATACACAGGGAAATAATAAAGCACAATGACATTTTGTACATTAAAGTGCCTAAAGACATGAACAACTCCAAAAAAAATACCAGGTCTATAACACAAGTACAAAAAGATTTGCTGCGTAATAATCAGCTACCAAGTTCTTACCAATTCCACTATTTCTGTCCTCATTTCAAGTAGTTTTCTTTCATTAAGTGAGTACTAGAGGGAGAGGGGGAGGGGGGGGAAAAAAGATAAACATGATATTGTCATTAAACTTCTTCCCCCACACTTAAAAGCACATTTCTTTGTTTCCAAATTCTGTAGAACATTGAATCTGGACAAGATTGTCTGACACCACTTGGGAGACAGTATTGCAGGATAATTGCTGTCCTTCGGAAAAGCACAATTTAGACAGGTGTTCATCCACACCTCCGAACTGTAAAGTGCAACAAGTACGTCAGACACTCATCTTCTGTAAAAACTGTACATATTAATAGCAGCTGGAAGAAAGGTTGACAGATTTGCATTTCTGAAAAACAAAGACCTATGACTCTAAACAGTAAATAACTCTGGAACAGTTAACTAACCCATCAAGCATACAAGCACAATTAAGACTGAACCATCTACTTTCTTCAGGAAGGGAAGTACAGTTTTAAAACATCATATCAAACTCAGCTATCAAAGAAACGTTTAGCCAGCATTGCATGCGCTCACCATCTGTATTGTTCTGACCATCATTTCATGATATATTTGTTAAATATAGAACATTTGTATCTCACGTTAAGCCATTAATTTGTGGAACATTGGAAATGGTGGCTTATTTTTAAGTTATAGCTATTTGGGTTCAAGGAAAGTTAAATCCAAATTAAAGAAGCATACCTTTAAGGCAGGTTACCTTTCTGACTCATGAACAGGCATGATTTATCTTGACATCTATAATGGTTCCTGTCCCGCTACCGGAGCAATTCCATTATTCATAGACAGCTGCTAAACGGCCAGTCTATAGTGCAGAGTATTAAGGTCATCAGGCACCCTCAGTTACACAGCAATAACCTCATCTGTTGACATTCTTATGTGGAAAGTTGCTTTATTTTTCCTCCACGCTGGAAGCTTATTCCACTTTAATATTAAACTCAGATTAATCTACATAAATGCCTCAGCACTGAAAAACCCTCCTTAAGGATCCAGAGCTCTGTTTGGACTTTTGACTGATCTAAAGATGAAGTTAAGAGATAGCAGGCTGCTACAAATGTGGAAAATGACATAATAAAGACAAATAACAGCATGTCTACAATTAATGAAACAGTCACTAGATTCTGCAAAATGAAGAGAGGGACAAAAAAAGAAATTCAGACATTTTATATAAATACACCTTTTTGAAAATGGGAAGATGGAAGAATATTTATAAAAGAATCTAATTAAAATTATGTTTGAGGTGAAATTTCATGTAAGAATTTGACCTCACATTAATAAAATGATCATCACTATCAGAAGAACCGTGACATTTAAAATAAACAATTTTATGGATTCAGATAGTTTGTCTGTTTTACTTTAAGTAGATGCTGTTAGCCAAATACACATTTTCTGAATAATTTCTATTCTACAAGCTTCTTTCTTGATGTTTGTATTTGTTAAAAGTTTTGCTTTGTGGCTAGAACTCTCTAGGTCAGACCCAAGGATTTTGAACTTAGGTTTAAGACAGTGAAATACACTCTTTTACTGGAAGGCATCACCACACATCTGTAATAACACCACTGCATAAAAAAAGGGAGGAAAGACAAGGTTAAACCCCCTCCCTGAAATTCAACAGGGAGATTTCCCCTTAAGTCCATGTTTTTCACAGTGCAGAAAAAATTCAGTTTTGTCAGATGCATCTTGAGATTTTTAGCAGCAAGCTTAGAGGCACTGGGATGCATGAACACATGAATATGGAATTTTGTACCATACTTTGAGTTTCTAAATCACATCCATATCATTGCAGATATAAATCACAGCATAAACAGATGTGCATTAAGCGATGTAGGATTCTCCAAGAAATGTAAAGTTGAATGCAACTAATTAAAAGATAAAGCATTTAGAGTTTGAAATGTTAAAGACTGCCCACATCAGTGTTGACAAATTAAGAAATTCTCCTTCAGTACTTATTCCAAGCAAAACTAAAGGATAAGAACATTTTACTTAGTGCTTCACGTTAAATCAATTTAAACTTAGGACATTTCTCTTCTGAATAGTAACTTAGTAACAATGCACAGTAACCTTCAATTATCCTGAGTTTTATTCTCAGTAAGCTAGATATTCAGTCCTAAGTCACATTAGAATCCAAGTAAATGATGCTCTGTCTACTATAGAAAATACTGGATTACGTCTCACCCCCAACTCAGCATATATGCTACAACCTGTTCCCCATTCATCTGCCTTTTTCCTTTTCTGTTCATGCATGGCAGAGCTGGCAGTTAAAGTGGGGGAGTGGGAGGAGGAAAAAAAGAAAAGAGCAGTTTTCATAGAAACTATGAAATTATAGTTGCACAACAGACTACAAAGTTGGTCAAGTTTCTTAAGAGAAAGTTGACATGCACAGTTTGCTTTTCCTTGGAGGCAGTAAAAATAATGTAGTGTTCTGAGCAACAGACAGAGTCCAGATTCCAGGATCCTACATAAATATACAAGAAAACACTAGTGACTAATTTATCACTGGTGAAGTGGTTTTAAATAGGTTTTTCTAAGCCCAAAGTATTGCAAAGCTCACGATCTACACAGTTAATACATTTCATATGATGCTTTTTTAAAACATTAGCATAAAGTATTAACCTTTAAACAAGAATTCTACCTGCTCAAGTTGTACTTTGTCCAAGCGTCTACCATGGGATAACAGACCATTAGTCATTATACTAAATAGCTGACACAGCTGTTACCTAAACTAATCATTGTGAAAAATTTCAAGGGGCACATACAAAAGATAAATGATATCTACTTGAACAGTTCTTATTGCCTAGACTGGAGATAAATATTAAGTCTTCATTACACACTTGTGAAAAAGGACTGAATAAGAAATAAAATTAATAGAAAAATGTCATTAAAAGATCTTTGCATTTAGAAGATGCAATTTCTTTGAGATCCTAAAAGCTATTAAAAAAAAAAATCTATGGGAACAGAACTGTATTTACAGTGCTACATGTAATGCAAAAAACTTGTTAATCTTCTACTTCATCTACGTTATTCTAATTTAAGATCACATCAATTCAGTTCTACCAGATATTTCAAAGTTCAAAACAATCTGAACCAGTATTAGTTACAATTAAAAAAAAAATTACAACTATTTTCACAATAGGTATTTCCTAACAAACTAGCTACGCTATAAATTCTCTAGCTATAGGGAAATGAAACATCTTCAATGATGATAAATTTAATGAAATGTGTAAACTTAATTAAGTGTGAAAATAGACAAAGAGATACAGTAATAACATAGAAAACCTTTAGGCAGCTAGTCAGCATATTTAGATTAAATATCTAAAAATTTAAGTGTAATATGTTAATCTTGATATTAAAACAATATCAAAATAGATAGACATACAAAACCAAACATGGCAGCACCTTGTACTATAGCAGCATAAGGATGAGTAACTTGGATCAATACCATCTTGAAGCTGAATGATACTATAAATTAATATGGAAATGCTCTTTGGGTAAGATGCTCTTACCCAAATTTGGAGATTACTCACTGTTTAGATGTTTCTAGAAGAAAGTAACCAAAACTTACCAATTCTTTTACTCTGCTCTTCTCTAGGTTTAGGTTTAACTTGTTATCTGCACGAACTTTGGTAATTTCATCCTAATGGGAAGAAATTGATAAAGCAGCAAGCAAGATTTTCTATTTAATTATAAGCAGAAAAAATTAGACAAATATATTGTGCCTCTCTTTACATATCTCAGAAATCAAGCTTCTCTCCAATTAATGTACATAACTTTCAAAAGTCTAAATATTCCTATTCTTGCCCCGGGAAATACTCATGTTCTATAGTATGAATTGGATCTCAGAATCAAAAAAATAACAATTGCTTTCAAAACCAGAACACTGAGAACAGCAGTTAATTGAGAGCACATCCTTCTATAAATGCTGGGAATGTTTCTTATATCCCATAACCCTCTCTGATTTCTAGAAATCCATGCCTAGGTACACATGTAAGTTGGACTTCCTCCATGAAGCAATCTTGATGCTCAAGATAACTTTAAAAGCAGTTTCTAACCTTCCAATGTAAAAGAAAATCTGTTTTTAAAGACTGCATCTAGGGCTTTCAGAAAAAGCTACAGACATTTTAGAAGTTAGGAAACATTTATTATATTTTTAAACATCTAACTTTTTTAAAGGACCATAAGTTGTACACTTGCACTTTACTTCATCAATAGCTGTAAGTGATTCCTGCTTTTCTCAGTGACAGCTGCCATTTTAATGCAGCATCCTGGCAGGAATTCCAGCCAGCTGACAGTTTGTCATGAGGCAAACTGCCAATCAGATGAATGTGTGGGAGAAGCAAGAGATTGCTGATGCTCTGGGAGATTCTACTATTAAAAAAAAGTAAGCATCTCTCAAGTAGACCAATGTCACTAGTCAAGAGTTCATTAAGTTAGTATAAATAATAATTAGACTCAATTCCTATGTTTCAATTTTTGAACTTTAACTGGTTTATAATTAGATATCATTACAGTTTAATGAATCAAAAAATTAGAAATAAATTTTTCTTAAACTTTTATAACATTGTGTCTTCTTGTCTTTTAGAGGAACAAGTATGAGCAAACGTTATTCTCACAAGGGCAAGTTATTTTATATTCACAGTTAAAAGTTAAATTTAAAAACATCTAGCTTTTAAGAAAAGATTACTCAGATCCTTGATCCTCAGATCCACTCTACTGGTGGATTACACTAACTTTATATGCAACTAAAACCATAAAATAAGTTACAATTCAAAAATCAGATGCCAAATGTATTTTAAAATGGTATTCTGAAAACCCAGATGCATTAAGCATTTCATAATACAATATAAAACATTCAGGATTAGCCTTGAGAAATTTATGTTCTCCTTTTGGAGATGACAGTGCAAAAAGAAATTGAAAAGAATAGGACAGAAATGGCAATGAGGCACTAGGCTGAGTTTGACCACATTGTCAGTTAGCTCAACAAGTCCAATATTCTGCCAGTTTCATGGATAAATCTGACAGAAAGAAGAATGCTCCATCCTTCCAGCTAAGAAGGACATCACAGCAGGAAACAGCAGTTCTCAAGTCAGATGACCATATTCTCTAAAAAACAGTTAATGTTTCCCAGTTTCCAATCTTAATCACTGTTGCAAGAATGTTTGTTTCTGTGTAAAGGCTGCTTATGACTCCACACCCATTGAAATAATAGATTTTGAGACAATCTTGTTTTTGATGGTAGTTTTGATGTTTGGAGTGCTATTCAATACAGGCAAACCATAAAGAACAGAAACACAGCACTGATGCTTAAACCTGATAAGAATAAGAATCTGTATGATCATTAACAGAGTTACGTTTTCTCCAGAGAGTCTGTTTTCTTGCAAAGGTCATTTGCTCCTAAACAAATGGGACCAAACATAATGGTCCCAAACTTAATGGCCTAAAGAAGCCATTTAAAAGCTATTTTAAATTCTGGACAGCTAACAGATATGTCTTCAGACAAAAAAAAAAAAAAAAAAACACACATCAAAAAAACATCACCCAACAAAAAAAAACCCAAACTGTTGCATTTTTACATGTAACAGGCAGCCCTAAATGCAGAAATTCACTCAGCTGTAACCATGACACGGCAGTTAGCCACTTTCTGAATCTAAGTTAAGGACATGCAAGTAGAAAAATCTTCAGTTACATTTTTCTTCAACTCTTGTACCATTCACAGTTCTCTGTCACCATAAATGAAGTATGCATGGAATTGTTTTTGTTGCAGCCCACAGCATACCATCAACTGCAATTTCAGTATCCTATATATCACAACAATTAAGCACAGCTTTTAAAATAGTGTCTTGAAAGCAACAATTATTTTTTATTTAAGCAAACTAGACAGGTGTTAACTCTTAATTATATTGGTATGGTATCTTACCATGACTTGCTTCTTTATCTGCTGAAGTTCAAGTTTTATTTTCTGGGAGAGTAGAAAAAAATTGTACACTTTATTACTATATATAAAAACACATAATCTAGAAATAGTAATGAATTTGCATGATCAGTAACAATAACTATAATCAATAATGTGAAAAAGAAGGCAAAATGAGTGTGGTTTAACTCTATGTCCTCAGTATGTGTATAGATATATTCATGCGTATACACATGCATGTTTACTCAGTGCTGTGCGCTTCCAAATAACAGCACAAGACAGAAGCTGGCAATGTCCCACAGCAGCAGAAGTGGCCAAATGCATAGGATGGTACAAGCAAGAGTAAACCCAGCAGGCCAAGGGAAGTGATTATTTCCCGATATTTAGCAGTTGTGAGCCTGCACTGGAAGTGCTGTGTCCAGCTTTAGGCTCCCTGGTGGAAGACAGATGTTGACATACTGGAGCAAGTCCAGGGAGGGCCATGAAGATGATGGGGGGCTGGAGCACACTATGTTGGGGGTGGGGGGATGAGGAGGAGAGAGAGCTGGGTTTGTTCAGCTTTAAGAAGAGATGGCTAAACGGCAATGATACTGCAGCCTGCAACTACCTAATATTCTCTAGAGGTCCCTTCTAACTCAAATTATTCTATTACTTTACCTCTTTCAAAAGATACATGAAATAGGTATAGCTGTAGCATCTTCTCTCTGGAGATCATCCAGTCCAATCCCCTGCTCAAAGCAGGGGCAACTAGAGCAGGTTGCTCAGGACCATGTCCAGTTGGGTTTTGAGTATCTCTAGGATAGGGACTCCACAGCCTCTCTGGGTACCCTATTCCAGTGTTCTACCACCCTTATAGTAAAAAGCGTTTTCTTATGTCTAAATAGAATTTCCCGCATTTCGGTCTGTGCCAATTAACTATTGCTCTGTCACAGGACACCACCAGAAAAGAGCCTGTCTCGGTGTTCTTTATACCCTCCCTTCAAATATTTGTATACATTGATGAGATCCCCACTGAGCCTTCTCGCAGTCTTTCCTCATATGTCAGATGCTCCAGTCCCTTACTGATCTTTGAGGACGTTTGTCGGACTATGTCTAGCATGTCCACATCTCCCTTGCACTGGGGAGCCCAGCACTGGACCCAGCACTCCAGATGAAGTCTCACCAGTGCCAGGCAGAGGGGAAGGATCACCTCCCTTCACCCACTGGCAGCCTTCCTAACACAGCCAACGAGGCTGTCGGCCTTCTTTGCCACAAGGGCTCATTGCTGGCTCATGGTCAACTGGGCGTCCACCAGGACCCTCAGGACCTCTTCTGCCAAGCTGCTTTCCAGCTGGTCAGCCCCAGCCTGTCCTGGTACATGGGCCTATTCCTCCCCAGAGGCAGGACTTGGCATTTCCATTTGTTCAACTTCGTGAGATTCCTGTCATCCCATTTCCCCAGCTTGTTGATGTCCCTCTGAATGGCAGCACAACTGCCTGGTGTATCAGCCACTGCTCCCAGCTTTGTATCATCTGCAGACTTGCTGAGGGTGCGCTCTGCCCCATCAACAAGGTCATTAACGAAGATGTTAAACCATAGTGGTCCCACAGCCAACCTCTTGGGTACAAGATGCTTTTTTACATCATTAGAAAAAATAAGCAAGTGCTAGAATAGCACTTTCCAAGATAGTGATTTTTACCTCATTTTCTGAACGAAGTGCTGAAAATTCACTTTTTTCCAAAATAATCATGTCCTTTTTCACACCACCAATATGGGACATTACTTGCTGAAGTGCAATTTCCTTTAAAAGAGGGGGAAAAAAAACCCTCAGAACATATTGTAACTATAATGCTTTTTCTCATCTATGCCTACAAATATGATAGGCTATTTTGGTACCCTGAAATTTTTAATCCAGCAATTTCAGACTGATTATCTGAGTTTCAGAAAGCAAGATAAATTAAGTGACAGAATAAGCAAGTTAGGCTCAAACGTTGGTAAAGTTTGACAAAATTAGTAGTGCTAACACAGATCAGAACAATTCAATTAATAGTCTAGGAAATAGTTTCTTCCAAGTCTTCAAATTCTTAAGCATTAGGAAGAGAAGATGTGTCTCTGAGCTAAATGAGGAAAACTGCCTTTCAGACCAAAACTCCTCAGTGCAACCATACTCTTTTGTAATTACCTCCTTTTTTACCTCCCCCTGCAAGGGGGCTTGCTCTGCTTCACTACTCAGAATCATGCACTATACTTACACTTTTAATTGCTCTTCTCAGTCTGTTATACTGAGTTGACAGAAGGCAAACAAGAATTCTCTGCAACTTTCAAGGATGGAAAAGTCTGTAGACGTTGTTCTAGATCCTACACTATCCACACATGCAAACAGGGACTGCCTCCTCTTCTCTGAAGATCTCCCCCTAATAAGTAGTCCCTTGCTTTTGATTCTGGACTAAGAGCCTATAAATCTGACACAGCACTCTAACTCCACTTTCGTGAGGAAACGCTATTCTAACTTACAGTGCTATATGTTTAAGTGGCATCTGGAGATGCCACACCAGGCTATGTGACCACAACACTGAAAAACATGGCTCAGTGTACTAGACATGTTACAAAAAGTCTACAGAAAGAATATTGCCATGGACACCTCTCTTACTCCCTGACGTCTCCAGCTTGCTTTTTTTCTCTCCCCTCTTCAATGAGCTCAGTAAAACAGAAAACACTCTTCCATATTCTTTCTCTTCATCATCTCTATACATACCCACACACATATTTTCCACCCCCCCCCAAGGTTTTATCTAACCAGTTAATATTTCATCTTTTACATATCCAAACTAGGGCCTAATGGCAATAGCTACATCTACAACTTTCCAAATTCTCTTCCAACTTATCATTCTCTTTTTGTGTAAGAATTGTATTCAAAGACTATAAAGAACTACAGGTTCTATCATGTTGCCCAGAGTTCAGGGCATACACGCCTCCTGAGCGGCTTCTATCTTAGCATGCCATACAAACCTGCATATTTCAATCTTAATGACAGAAAGTCACCTGAAGGTGGAATCTCCCAGTCAGTCTCAGAAAACATCTACCATCAGGAGTAACAAAGGAAAACCTGTCTGCTTTCCTTCAAAAAAAGCTGGGCATAGCAGGAGGCAGAGATGCAATGACTGCTTACTGTGAAATATAACCAACCATGGGAGAAAGGGTCCCTTTAACATTGCATTCTCTGATTGACTGTGGAACAAGTTCAGCACAGGGGGAGAAAGCTCACCCACATCTGCCTTGCCTGGAATCTAGGAGGTAGGAAAGATGAGCTGAAGTCTCCCTAGATGGAAGGTGGTGCAAAATCCAGGTATTCCGCTTCTTAATGAGATGCCCTATTGCCAAAACTATTACACTATGGAGACAGCAGCTGCTGTTTTCTCATGTTTTAAGACAGCAGCCTCATTACTATGAAATAAGTTAAAGCCTGTGTTCAGAAGGTGACTTGGGGCCATGAATCCCAGCCTCACAGAGCAGCCCAAGAGGCTGTACTTCAGCTATGCTTCTTGTCAGCGTTGTCTATTAGCTTACGTGTCAGGGAATTCCAGCATACCAGATATTGTGAATCCCATTCAAAGATGCTTAAGCTCCACATGCAGTGAATCATGTCTTACTCTGAATTTCGGTTTCATTTCTGGAGCCAGATGCCTAAGAGCTCAACGTGGCAATATTCAACACTGTCATGTCCAATTCCTTACACGGATCTACCTTTGTATGACCTGACAAAGGGCTCCCAAAAAAATCACAGCCAGTATTAGAACAAGAACCCTTGCCTCCAGACACAATTATTCATTAAAACAATCATTCCGTCACAAGTCAAAGCTAACTATTCAGCTCAGTTGTACGCGTTTCCTGGTAGCCAGGAAGGATCTCTGTGGATACTCAGCATTATCAGTCTATTTCCAAGCAAGTTTTCTTCACTTCCTCGCACCAAAATGTATATGCTGGCTAGGTTTAGAGGATACCATGAACAATGTATGCATCAAAGGAAAAGGTGATAGATTTCAAGATCAACATCCAAACTATACATGTTCCTATATGTTACCAATGTATACAACCACACCGATCATGCCCTAAAAACATTATATAAGAAATCCAGCTCAATTCTAATCCAATATAAATGTCATTGTGACACAAAGAGATAAATAAAAAGGTACAACATAACAGGGCGGTAAATCACTGCGGGAATCTGTACTTCCTTGTTACAAGTCTACAAGAGAATATATGTAGAAGCTGTAACTATTCAAATCCATGCATTGAATACCTCCTATATCTGTCTAAAAGCCGCCTCAGTAATTCTATTTCATGCTACAATAAGGTCGAAACCAAAAAACTACCTGTGGTTTGTGTACCAGCTCACAGTACCTAAATCTCAGGGTCCACCACAACACTTTGATAAGTATTTCATAAACTCAGGATGAAATTCACTAGCCAATAAAGAGGGATGTTTGTTCTTCACCTTCAAACTTCTAAAATACAGTGTCTAACAGTAATAAACAGCAACATATATTTCATTAGCAGGCATACTAGGTTTTGATTTACTTCAACCCCACCATCGTCTTTGAGCTAACCTGCTGCACTTTGGTGACCATGTCCTTGTAAATCATATCCAGGTTGGTGTTCATAATTTTCACTAATGCAGATACAATGACCTCCGACTGCTGAGTAGTGAACCCTAAGCAAAACAAAATGCAACAACATTCAGAGAGAGACCTAAATCTGGACAGTTTACAGAAATGCCACTTGCTAATACTCAGCACCAAGTTAAAACAAATGTCCGTTATGAAAGATAAAACACACTCCTCTTGATCCAGCACTAACAAGAGCACAACCAGTCAGTACATCCAAGTTCCTCCACCCCAAAATTATGTCTCTGACACAGTATAGTTCCTTTTGTAGTACAGCGCTATTACAGTATCAGCAGGATATTTTCCTGGAAATTTTCTAGAAGTATTATGGAATGTCATCTCTCACATGTGGTTATTTCTATGAGCAAGAATTCCGACCCTGAAAAGCAGCGTATACTTCCAGTATACTATAAATCTTCAGAACCACTGAAGATGTACAAGACTCAACAACTGAAAACAGAGCTAACCGCTCTGATTTTAGGCCTACCAGCCTCTGAGTCTCTATTAAAAACCTTTTAAACTAAATATATTGGAAACTATCGTAAAACATTGTACCTAGAAATACTTGTCAACTTTTCCACTTTCAAAATGTAGGAATAAAAATGTCATGAACAAGATTTAAACATTATAAAAGGAAACACTTGCAAAAGCATGATTGTTTCAAACTAACTAGCAGCAGTTAAGTGTTAGAAAGCACACATGTGGTCTGAGAGTGAGTTGCTTTCAATAGCTGAGCTCATGTTATAGTTTGCCACCACCAAAAGGAAGAGATACCCCTCCTCTCTCTTTTCTTATCCCTCCTCCTGCCAGTTTGTGTGTGTCCTAGTGCTCTGCTCTGTGAGCTCATAAAACTAGCGTCTCCAAATACCAATCAAGCAAAAGAGCTGCAGAGTTTTCTGAGAATTAGTTTGGCACGTGGAAAGAGATGAAGCCACATGGCAGGGAAATGGGACCGGGACCTCTTCTTTTCAGGGATGGAGAGCTGTCAGAAATCAATTCAGCTGTACTGCACTTCACCTTAAGGTACTTTCCCCACCTCGACAACATTAGCACAAATCCAAAATAATCGACTCCCTTATCTATGTTTTAGCATAAGAGCAGCCATATTTCATATAGTATTCTACATTATATCCTAAAAACTACATTTTACATAGTAGTCCATATTCAATCCTATTACAACACATTGTTGTGTATTCAAGATGCTATATACTAAATATGTAGGAATCCAGTTAATACATTTTAAATCACTACCTTGACAACTGTTTTTTGATTTCAATTCTTAAAATCTAATTTCTCTTTAGCATTTTTTAATTACCAACAGGATAATAAATTATTCCAACCAAAGTTATATAAGCTCACTGTCTCCTTTTGGAATTAGAAAAAACTTACATGTCCTTAGCTAGTATATAAAAAAAAAAAAACCCACAAAAACGAAGCTGTAACATCACATGTCAAGGAGAAGTAAGTAACCAACTTTGTAAACTAAAAAATCACCCATGAAATGACATTAAAAATAGCTACCCATTTCTAGCAAATTACCATTTTCTTCCAAGAGGCATACCAGCACATGAGTGTCAAAAAAAAGCTTCCTATTTCCCAATAAGGAAATATTCCCTGTGCTTCGTAAAGATGATGGTGCAGAACTGCTTACATCTGAAAAAAAGATAAACAAAACATATGTTATTTTTAAGAAAGAATATTTAATCAGCATGTTTGCTTTCCAGGAGTTTCCTTACTACCCCAAATATTTGTCATTTATGACAAAATATTAGATTGTGCATTGAGATTATCGCAGCTTGCTTAAAACTGAAAAGGTATCTGGCTAACAAGCGCTATGCACAAGAGCTTTAAAACAGAATACAATGCTACTGCTGCACTTCCGAGATGCTCTCCAAGAATATCCTGTCCTAGAAAAATCCCACCAAATGTCTGGGTCTTAAAATTGGTCCTTTACAGTTACCAGCGTAAAATGTGGAAGCTGTGAGCACTTCGTAGCTTTGAGGACTAAATCCACAGACTCTTTCCATTCTTTATTAGAGAAGCAAACCTTCATTGTTGCCCTTTAGACACTAAATTGCTATTAGAAGAATTACTAACACATTCCCCAAATATCAGTATTACAGAAATCATGCATTCAGGGAAATTTAATACCAGTGCATAAACTAGCTGACAGAAAGAATGTAAAATGCAACATGAGGTAAACTGGCAGGAGGCAGAATTCTCTGTCCTCAAAGCCATTATATTTTAAAACACTTGGGTGGGCAGAAAATATAACAATGCCTTAGCTGTCTTACTTAAAGATCAATAAAGGGTAATCAATTTAAGCCTTCGCGGGGGGGGTGAAAAACAGTCCTAATAATTACCCCTACGGCCAGGTCACAAAGCTGCTGCTGACAGGCCCTTGCAGGCCCCGGGCCCCCACGCCACTGGACTCCCGGGGGCGGGTGAGGTGACGGGGGCACGGGTACCCACCCCCTCACCCACTCTCGCGTCCCTCCGCGCCACGCCCC